GAGCCGCCGGCGCGGCCACCCGACACGGCCACTGCGCATGCGCCACTCCCAGGCGCCTCCGTCCCGTTTCAGAGTTTGCGGTCCTCGGTCCTTGCCCCCGATATCCAGTGTTTTCCCTCCTCTCACGCCAGCCGGGGACGTGAGAGGAGGGAAAGGACTGCATGCGCAGCGGGACACGTCCTCGGTGCGGAGGAGGAGGAGAACCGGCCCGGGGTGTGAAGGGCGCCTGCAGTGTCACTCTGGGCTTCCGAGTGTCGCTCTCCAGCCGGGGTTTCCTCAACCACAAAGCGAGGGATGTGGGCAAGCTGAGTGGTGTGCGGCTTGCATGGCCTTCCCCGAGTGACGGTTCCATCGCGACCCGCCTCCAAGCCTGGAGGGCTTTGGCCTTCAGTGTGGAGTCAGGCTTGTCGTCCCAGGGCCGGGAGTTGGTCCCTCCCCTCCGTGGGGCGGGCCGGGGGAGCTGGTTCCCCTGGACAGTTGAGCAAACGCAGCATGTTCCCTTGGACTGTATTCTTTCAAATAGAAATTCTGATTTCAGGGGAACAAGGGCAAAGGGAAAATACTAACAGACTTAAAAGATCAGTAGGTGAAATGTTTCAGGTCTTTAGGAGTAGCCTCTAAAGGTAAACAGCAGTCATGGGTGGAAGGGCTATTCTCAAGCGAAGAGTGCAGACCAGGGTATGGAAGGAGGGAATGGCATGGCAATTAAGACACAAGCAGGTATTCAGAGGCAAAACAGGTAGGTAGTACAGGATTTTACTGAAAGATGAAACGAAGGATGCTGAAACCAGGTCATGAAAAGCCACCTTAGGCTAACAAGGGATCTTGTGCTTGATCCTCGTTGAAAGATAGGAAGATTATTTTGGAAAATCACTTTGTGTACAATTAGAGAAAAGGCTGGAAAAGGGCAAGACTGTGAGACCCGCATAGGGAGACTAAATGGTAGTGGGCTCACCCATCCCAGGAGGGCCCAAGGACATTACCCTTCACCATGACTGTTAGAAATCAATTTGTGAGAGGAGCCCCAGCAGCCTTTTAGAGATCTGCAATTGCTCATTTCTGTAGTCAGGTGTGTCTTACAGTGGAAACTGCTCGCTTCAAACTGGGATTCCTAAATGCAGTGGAGATTATGGGATCCCAGGGTGGCAGGGACCACAAGTGGCACTTAATTATCAAAAACTAAATGGGTGTGCTCACTGTAATACAGCAGAACTAAAGCAGTAATCCAAAATGTCCGACTCGAAGTTCCTAGACTTGAGCCAGTTCACACACCAATAACCCCAAACAAAGGGGACACAGGGCCTCTTGAAGTACCTGCTACTTTGCTAAAAATGTATATTTTTAATCTTTTCCCCTGCCAAAGGGTCCAAAAGCATCTACCAGGGTGACTGCACATTGTGGGAAAGGAAATAACCAAACTTTGCAGGGATTAGTAGATGGTGGCTCTAACCTGACACTACTTCATGGAAACCCAAAACATCATTGTGTCTACTTATCAGAGTAGCAGCTTATGGAGGTCGAGCGAACAAAGGAGTTTCACCTCAGGTTCACCTCACATTAGGCCCAGTTGGTCTATAAACACATCTGTGGTTATCTTCTCAGTTCCAGAATGCATAAATAAAATAAACATGCTCAGCAACTAGCAGAATCCCCATTTCGGTTCAAGTAAACTGAAGGCCATTTATGGTAGGGAGGGCCAAATGAAGTCACTAGAACATTTCCCATCTATGAAAATGTAAACCAAAAGCAATGCTACATTCTGGGAGGAATTACAAAGATTAGTGCCATTGTCAAGGACTTGAAAGTTGAAATCTGATGATGTGGTGATTCCAGTTGCACCACTGTTCCAGATGTGGTTTCATTGCTACAGCTATGGATCTGACAAATGCTTTTTCCTTCTATCCCTGTTGGAAAAAAAAAAAGACTTCCAGAAGGAATTTAATTCAACTGGCAAGGCCAGCAATACACCCTCACTATGCAATACTGGATATAGCAGCTTCAGTCCTATATCACGATTTTGTCTGCAGAGACTTCCATCCCTTCCCCGCACCCCTCCCACACAGCATCACACTGGTCTATTACACTGATGATGATATGCTGATTGGTAGACAAGAAGTAGCAATTATTGTATATATATTGATAAATATTTGCATGCGAGAGGATGAGAAATAAAATTCAAGGGCCTTCTACCTCAGTTACATTTCTAGGAGTCCAGTGGTGTGGGCTATGTCAAGATACCACTTCAAAGGTAAAGGGAAAGTTGTTTCATCTGGCCCCGCCTACTACTTAAAAAGAGGCACAATACTTAGTGAAAGGAGAGAAGGCAAGGCTCTACAACACAGCCAGGCTGTTCTGCCATTTGGGTCATATGATAAATCAAGCAGATTTAATGGTGCTTGAAGGGGCAGTGGCAGATAGAGCCGATATTTGTAGTCTTTGTCAAGCACCTCTAAGTGAATCAGAAGGCAAACCCTGAGGATTTTGAAACAGAGCCTTGCCATCCTCTGAATAACTACTCCTCTTTTGAAAAACATCTTTTTGGCTTGCTACTGGATCTTAGTAGAGACCGAACACTTATCCATAATCCACCAATTTACCATGTGACCTGAGCTCATTGAAAAATAATGTTAATAGATGGTAACTTTGATGTGATCTGATGAAAACGACGCTGGCTTTCTGTGATCTTCCCAAAACCCATAACCCCAGTATAATTATGAAAAAATGTCAGACAAATTATATATTTTGTATCCTACAAAAGACTTGACTAGCACTCTTCAAAACTGTCAAGGTCATCAAAAACCAACAAACAAAAAGTCTGAGAAACTATCTCAGTCAAGAGGAACCTAAAGAGACATGACAACTAAATGTAATGTGATATCCTGAATGGGACCTGGAAAAGAAAAAGACATTAGGTTAAACGAAGTCTAAATAAGCCATTGAATTTAGTTAATAATAATGTATTGATGTTGGTTATTAATTGCAATAAATGCTATATTAACGTAAGATGTTAGTAATAGGGGAAATTGGGTGCAGGGTATGTAGGAATTCTGTATTATCTTCTCCATTTTTCTGTAAATCTTAAGCCAGAGTACTCAACCTCTGGGCCACAGACCAGTACCGGTCCGTGGCCTGTTAGGAACCCGGCCGCAGAACAGGAGGTGAGTGGCAGGCAGGCGAGGGGAGCTTCATCTGTATTTGCAGCCGCTCCCCAGCGCCAGCATCACCACCTCAGCTCCAGCTTCAGATCATCAGGCATTAGATTCTCATAGGAGCACCAGGCACTGGTGCCAAAAACGTTGGGGACCTCTGTCTTAAACTACTCAAAACATAAAGTCCATTATATTAGAAAGAATCAAACTCAAATCGCCATGTTATAAAGTGTTAAACCAAGACTTCCTAAAATAATGAAGAATATCCAGTTATATTGTTCTTATTTTGTACTTCAATAGAAAATTTTAAATTTAAATGTTAATTATTTCATCTTTATCTAATCTTTTAAAAATTTCTGATGTGTGTAAGTTTTATAGCACACATAATACATAAACACAGAGGTACATGTGTGCATTTTAACATAATATATATGTACATATTGGGAAATGCTAAATTTTTTCATTGACATTACAAAACTAAATTATTAGTGAGCAAGTGTATTTAAATAAGTCAAAAACTAGAGTTTCTCAGAGGAAACTGTGACAAGTTTCCTTGTCAAGCCCATGAACTGTGATATAATTAGGATAATTAGCCTAATCTTATGTCAAGATGAATAACAAAAATATCTATAAGCTTAAGTAAAAGCCTATATAATAACATTGCTGGAGACAATGCCATTTAATTTCCAGCTTTCCCGTATATTAAACATTCCTAAATTAGGTAACTAAAAGTTATATGATGAGATCATAACTTGTAAGTCCTTGGACTTTGTAACTTTACATTTTGAATTATCCTGAATTAATGTAACTCCTTTTTCAGTGGCCTTGCCTAGAAGAGTTAATGTGTGAAAGGTTTATGCATGAGTCAATGCGTAAGCTCCTTATCTTTGAACGCTTCACCCTTTACTCACAATAACTGTTTACGAAGAACCCTGTTGAGTCATTCGGGTGTTTGATTTGTTTGTTTGTTTGACTGATATTTTAATTCTCTGTAAGAAACTTACTACAAGTTGGCTGTGTATCTCCCTTTTCAATACCATAAATATCATACTTTACAGCAAAGTCAAAACACCTTATATTTTTAATCTATGGAATTTCCCACTGTCACAGCAATGAGAAAATAGATTCAAGTGTATTCTGTGCACCAGTTTCTAAGATATTCACAGGAAAGGTACTTTTTAGCTTATTCTAGTTTCACAGGTTCATGTACAGCACTCAAATTTGGAAGGAAATATTGCTAGTTTCACTTAGCAATTAACTACTCTAGAAATACTCAAATATTTATTTGAAAGACTCTCTTTCTCACTCAGCATGCCTCTTGATTGTGGAATGCTCATTATTTTTAAACAAAATGGGTGAGGGGGATCTATTATGTCTTTGCAGTTCTGAGACTACAATAAAAAACAAAAATAGGGAAAATAGGGAAATAATTCATGAGAAAAAATATATTACAGTAATACTAGTTTACCTGGAAACCCCCAAAACTGTCCCCAAGAGTTTTTCTAGGGAGAAGTATTAGTCATAATGAAATTTATTTATCATGAAAATGAAACCATTTTATACATAAGAAAATGACAAAAAATGATGTTATACAAAGACTTGGAATGCTGGAAAATACTAAGCCAGTCCTTGGCCTCCAGCTAAACAGAATT